AAAACAGAGCGATCATCATGGCCAAAGGAGGAATTTATTCGATTTCAGTGGCCGGTTGATCCTTAGATAAATCGAAGGATAGGTCTATGATGAGAAAAATACTTCCTCAATTCTTCTAAGTTAGATCCGGTTGACCGAATCAGGTCATGATAAGAGCCCAAGCTAAGAACCGAATCCGTGCCGAACATCATAGAGAAATACGGCACATATGAAGGGCCCGAATCCCTGCCACATATGGCATGCCGTACTCGGCATACCGAGCCTTCATCTGCCCTAGTGGAAAAATCTAAGGCAGAGGCGTAACACGCCTGATCAGAATTTCGGATCGGACTTGATCAGTTTCTGATCAAGACCTGAACAGAATTTCCACTCGGGTGGGCCGGATTTGGCTCTGGCAGGATTCGGCATGCCGTACGAAATTTCTAGTAGGGAAATTACGTTCAAAATCGCCGTAAATTACGATTACATAAACATAATTTACGATTTCGCAATCGTAAATTACGCATAAAATCCTCGTAAATTACGGGTACATAAATGTAATTTACGATGTCATATTCGTAAATTACGCTGAAAGTTGCCATAAATGACGATTTTTTTTTTGTTTTACATTTACGCACCCGTTATTATATACGACCGTAATAGGTTTGAATAAAACGACAGAAATGAGATAATTTTATATCTTGTATAATTAAAGTAGATATGAATAATTGAATCAACATTCCAATCCACCGAAAAAAGAGAGACAAACTAATTGCATTCCGTGAAAAAGAATCGTTGTTCGTGAGTTTGAATTAATTATTAATTGATCAAACATTAAAATGGTATGCATCTGTTGTTGTTGATTGATGTATTCAATAGTCCGTACGTAGGTGCCAAAATGCTCCTGGAATAGAAAAATTATTTAAATTCCAGATCAATTAGTTTTATTTCAAGGATATTGACGGTGTTTGTTCGTGCATAGCAAAAGGAGAATCATTTGCACCCAACCTTATTTTTCAAAATAACGGCTAGACAAAACTTCTTACAAAACCTTTTTTTATAGCTATTAATGTTAGTTAATGTGAAAAATCCTTGAAAATTGGGGATTGGGATCCCCCCTAATTAGGTGTAAATTCCTAAGAATTACGGATGAATTCCTGGAAAATTTCGGATATAACCCTAACAACCAAAACTTCGTTCTCTACGCAGCTTAATTCGTTTTCAATTTTCTAAACTTACGAAAAATTTTTAGGAGAAAAATAACCGTTCTATTTAGTACAAATTGTAGATCTTCATTCCTGAATGAAAAGTTAATTTTCAATCTTTGATTTGTGGATTCTGCAAGTAAGAATCACTAGTTTTTCCTCTCTATATATTTATTCCACTCCTTCCATCGAAATGTCCTTAATAAACTCTTCATTCAAAGTTCCACAAGTGCAATGCGAACGAACCGTGAACCCAAGGTTCTTCGGTATGTGCGATAACCTCGTCATAGTCCTACTGAATTATTGATGACCAGCACTTTGGTCCGAGCCCTTCCCTCTTTTCTCTTTTTTTTCTGACACCATCACCCCACTCAACTCAACCCCATTGCCCTTCACACCGCTTCCCATGTATTTTCATTGCACACATATACAGTAAGAGGAACAGCATCAAGGGGGCACCTGGCTAGGGACCTGCTGGCTGTTGCCTTTTTCACGGACCCCCATGGGAGTGAAAGAGCCCCCAGTTTATGCTCCTCGGCCTCTCGCCCAATTTCAACCAATTTCACCCGAAAGTTCGGCTTAATTTCATTTTCACGCGTCTGCGGATCGCTTGGGTATATATTGAAGAGATCTTTCCTCTAGCTGACGAGGGATCATTGGTTCAATTCTTCTGTGCGTGCGGACGTTTCTTTTCATCTTTGCCAATCAGCATTGGCAACATCCTATTTCCTCGCATAACTAGACGCGTATCATATACAATTTGATGTCGCAATTTGAATGATCTTACATCAGTATTTCTGAAGGTTTACTAAAGGCTCAATGTATAATCTCAAAAGTTTTCAACGAAAGATGTTATTCCGACCGGTATATTCATATTCTGTATCATCCCCGGGACTCAAAAGTTTTCGAAAAACAAACGAACAGAAAGCGATTCGATCCTATTAAATCGATCAGTTTGTTCCACCCACCAATACTTTTTTATTAGCCTCAGATTCGACGTAACATCTAAAAAAACCAACCCCTGTTCTGCCCCATGGGAGACGTTTCAATCTGAACGCAAAGACGATTTCACCATTCAGTGAAATCTCTCGTCTTCTATCTCCCTTTACACATGCAGTGCACTTGTCGATATTCGAGTTGTTATCTCCATAATTTACCACGCATATATAAAAATTGTAAAATCAAGAACGCGTCACCATATTTTTTCTTTGTGATTTGCAAATAATCATCAAAGGATTTGAATTCTTCTCCCTCAGGGATCCTTCGTTCCAGTAAAACTTCATCGCAAGTCTGTCATTACCCCTTAGGGAGCTACGAGAATCAGACGCATTCAAACCGTCAAACGAAAAAGCTAAAGAAGGAGACAATGGAAATGAATTCAGTGAGTTTTTGATACTGCTGAGGCACATCGGTCGAAACTCTTTACGGAGAAAGACATTTTCGAAAACACCCCAAAATGTAAAACCCTTCGTGAGAAGAGACAACTCCCCTCTGAAGAAAGCGCAAGAGTCGTTTTACAGTCATTGAGCGTAACTACTAGCTAATAAAAAGCCGTCTTGCTTTTTAACCCTTTCTGAATTAAATGTACCATTTAATGGTGTCATCTCACGTAAAGCACCTTCTGATTGTCCATCGGGCATGTCCCAAGGTGCATCTGAATGGAAAATTGCCAAACTTCAAAGAATAATAAAGTCATCATTGAAAGGTCGAGTGAATTGTTAAGTAACGGTGTAATTGCATGAATTTACCCACGCTATTTAAACATTGAATTGAGCAAATTCCTCTCGTATAGTCGGAAATCGAAATACGCGGCAGCCTATCGGCCAAGGAAAATTTTTTACTCTCTATGTAACACCTCAGGCCGAGCACTACCGGGTATCTATACATGAAGTAACTACCCCCTCCACTACCTCCGAATCAATTCTATTCAATAAAATTAAAACGAGATCAGCTACACGGAAAATACCCTTAGTTACATCATATAAATCGCTCACAAACTTTTCATTGATGTGTCCACTTTTCTGATGAAGTTAATATTAAGAAAGTTAAGTACATAGCAGCGAATCCTTATCTTCATTTTCGCATTTCACATTATCTCCGAGCCCTAAGTGTGAGTTTTGGGTTTCGAAATTGGTAGCAGTGCGAAACAGCCTCGCGCGTGAAGGAGGGAGAGAGCCAGAGTATGTTATTCTTTCTCTCTTCTCCTTGCACTCCACTGATTTTGTTATCCAAATCATTCACTTTTGTAAACGCAAAATAAACATGGAAAATTAGGTGATCTGCAAGGGTATTTTGCTCTTTGCGAGAAAAATTGACTCTGTTTTCAGGTAATGAATATTATTAATTAAATTCATGAATGACATGTGGGCAAGTGTATTTTCGGGGCTCGTAGATAAACACAAAATTAATTATTTCCTCGCTTTGCAAAAATAAATAAAATCGTCCTAAAAAACAAAAATAATTATCTTTGTAAAAAACCCTGTGCCAAGGTAAATTTCTCTTCGGGTTTTCCTGGAAATGAGGAAGACAATTTTCTAAAAAAATACAACTTCCATAAAAAACTTGAAAAAAATACAGAAACCAATGAAAATAAGCCGAGTCAGTGTTCATTAGAAAATGAGCAGATTGAACCAACGTCCTTGGCGCGGAGTTTTGGCAATCACTGCCTAATTTCAGTCTAATCTTTCATGTTCTGACTCACGCCAAGGGCATTGGTTCTATCCCCGATGAATCAAACCCAGAGTTAACTCTGGATTGACTCTGGGTTCATGGAAATTTCCCAGAGTTTCTCTCTTTCTTCGCTGGACTTTTTCCATAAGCCCAGAATTGACCCACACTGATAGAATGGATTAGTTATTGTTAATGAATGGATTTTGGTTGGAGGTTAGGGTCTATTCGGTTCCACCAAATGTTCATTCGTTAATAGTTAACGAATGTACATTTGAGGAGCCTTGTTTGACTTGACTTTCGCCATTCAAGTGAACCATTCGTTAACTATTAACGAATATTCATTTGGTCATATTCAACTCTACCATTCGTTAATAGTTAACGAATTTCGTATGGAATAAATGAATCATTCTATCAGTGCAGAGTTAACTATCAGGAATCAAGGAGTTATCTATCAGGGATCTTTAATAATTTTTTATTGAGCCCTGACTTACCTTATTTTCATTGGTTTCTGTATTTTTTCAAGTTTTTTATGGAAGTTGTATTTTCTAGAAAATTGTTTACTTCATTTAAAATAATTAAGTTTTTTAGGAATTTGATAAGTTACCATGAACTGCCCAAGCTCTAGCTTCACCAACCCGAAAATGCGGAAACAGTTAATAAACTGACGCTGATCAATTAAGGGGACCCGCACCGGGAGCCAAATGCGGGCAGTATCCTCGGATTGGTTGAATTCACATGCACGTGGACATGTAGATGTTATCCCTGCGTAGAAACAAGCGTTTTCGAAGGGGGTTGCAACCGGTACAGGAGGGCGGAGTCCTGGACTTGCTTGCATTTACCTACGGGTAAACAGTGGGCTTGATAGCACCGACTGAATAATGTATGCCATTAAAGCGTTTGTGGCACAACTCCTGGGCTCTAAATAGCCACGCCTACCTTGGCTCCTGTGGGGGCTTTTGCCATCCACTTTGTGGCTTCATTCTCTGTCTCTCTCATCGTCACAATTCCCAAAATCTCATTTGCACAATACGCCAATCATACTGCTGCACCCCGTGTCATAGTCTAAACTAATGATGAATAAAACTTGATGAATCTAATTCGCCCAATTGAATTAGGATTGGTGAATCCACCTAAATTTATGACAGAATGTTCCAGTAACATTAAGCATTAGTTGGTTTAATTCATGCTATTTCTTCTTTCAATACAGTTTGTTGGAAATGCGAAAGGAGAAGAGCAGAGATGCTGCAAGATCACGTCGTGGAAAGGAGAACTTTGAATTCTATGAACTCGCAAAGATGCTACCACTACCCGCCGCAATCACGTCACAGTTGGATAAGGCATCGATCATAAGGCTGACTATTTCATATCTCAAATTGAGAGATTTCTCGGGGCATGGAGATCCACCATGGAACCGGGACACACCACCACCTAATAAAATTATTAAAGGTGAGGCTGAAGAGATTTTACACACCATTTACTATTAGTTTTTTTTAACATTCATTTATCCCATCCCCCTCCCTTTAGGGACACCGCCCTATTCGCGATCGCAACGTAGATGTGAGAGCCACCAAGTGGGCTCTAAACTAACTACTCTTGGGGGCCAACCAATGAAATGACTGGGAGTAAACCAATGATAGGCGCTAATCAATGAGATCACTGGGTTCTCCTTGATCTCATTGGTTGGCCTCCATGAGTAGTTAGTTTAGAGACTACTTGACAGGGGTTGGCACAGGTTCTTTTTTCAAGTCACAAGTCTTAGCTTGATAGTGTGTTGCGTTCCCCCAGGCCTACCCTAGTAGAAATTCTGACTGACGCTGCGAGATTGCGAGTTGCGGTGAGATTTTTGCTACGGCATTAGGCTTGCTCGCATGTATGGAAGCAAGCGCGCCGCGGGGTTACTCCACACATTACACTGCAACTGAAGTATCTATGTTAGTAAGGTTAAGTGTTTTTATTGACAAGTTTTGTGGCATACATAGTTTTGTGTTGGACAAGATCCTGGGAAACATCTTATTAATATAGGAATTAATTTTATAGGAATTAATATAGGAAAATTAATTCCTATATTAATAATAGAGTTTATGAAAAAGATGTTTCCCGGGATCTTGTACAACACAATGAAAAATTGGATAAAAATATAACATGTGAATTTTCTCAATTGTTATCGACACTTGTTTTTGGATAATTCCATTTGCTCCCTCATCATTTAATCCCTAATTGTTCTTATCGACTAGGAGAGAAAGGATTTTATTTCAGTGATAATGTGATATAATAACTAGAGCAAGAAAAAATTTATATGAATGAATTACTTTTACTTTTATCTTGGTAATAAGTAGGCTCAGTTTCTTTTTTGAACCACTCATTACCAGTATAATTGAATAATTCATTAATTAGTGGATTGTGAATGGAGTTAGGAGAAAGAGTAAACTTTTTTTTTTCTTGAAAAATCAATTTCTATGACAATTATTTATTGTTAAGTTATTTGCATTATTGTAAAGTTATCATTATCACTGGAGGTTATGAGGACTGCGGTTCATGCAAACCGCGCATCAGTCTCGCATCACGCTACTGTGCGGAGTCTAGTGCGCTCCCTTCCCTACGTGGAGCACGAGCTGTGCGCCGCGCGTCCGTTGCGCCGCTGAAACGCAGCATCGGTGCGCTGGGTAATCTTGCACGGTAAATCCACGGCGAAAAATATGCAAGGTTCGATTTCTACTAGGGTAGAACCTTTCAATGTGCCCGTCTCTCCACCCTTGTGGCTGCAGCCGTCTCCTATAGTCTCGTTTAGCCACCGTATCCGCAGTCTAGGGAAAACTGCAGAAAACCCTGAACAACCGAGTACTTTGGCACTGTGGGTGTCACCGATGACCATCGAACTTATCGTGGACACCGGTCGAAATCTGCGAAAAAATCATTTACATTCGGCGGAGTTTGAACCTGCGACGGCCGGACGCCCCAGCTCAGTAGTCGGGAACGCTACTAACTGAACCACGGCGCCCTATGATTTACTATTAGTTTATGAAGGAATCAGGGGATATTGGAAGAATTGGGTGAAACTTTTCCTGGCAATCTTTGAAAAGCATAATATTTTGTGTATTTTACCTTGAAATCCAACGCGCTAAAAATTGAGTTCGAGAGGATGGAATTTTGGGAAGAATAATTCCATAAAGGATGGTAGCTATTAATCTTAAGACAGCATTACTGTTTTGGTATACATAATCGTCCATAAAAAATTTACTTTTTTGCCGTTTCAATATAACAGATGCCAAAATCCACCTGATGATTGGCATATATATTGCAGCCTAAAACAATCAATCGAATCAACGTTCATTTATAGGATCAATTAATGCAGATTTAATCTTTCACATTGTCGATTCTGAAAAATTTGGCCCATAAACATTTTTTCGGGTGACACTTTATTTAATTTCAAAGTGTATCCCCGGTCACAGTGTCTCTTTGTATTATAAAAATGCAAATCGACTTCTGGTGATGGAAATTTGGTATTCGAAATTAAGACTCCAGAATTAAGGGTTAGAAATGAAGGGTCATAAATTAACGCCCGCAAGAGAGATGAGGGTTATAATAAGGGTCAGAGTAAGGATTGAGGCGGTCAGAAACTAAGGGTCACAAGGGTTAAAATAGGGATCGTGAGGGTTATAATGAAGGTCATAATAAGGGTGACGAAGATCAGATTACGGGTCACAAGGGCCCAATTAAGGGTTACAAGGATCAGAATAAGAGTCATGGTCAAAATGAGTGTTAGAGTGAGGGTAATGGGAGTCAAAATAAGAGTCCAAATAAGGGTCATGGGCGTCATATGGGAGTCAGCGAGCGGAACGAGCAGGGGGCGTAGCCCCCCAGTTCGTCAGAACATTCGAACTTAATTATGGTATTGAATCAATTTAAAATCGGTGCATTAGATTATAGTTCTCCAATAAAAAAAAATTGTAGTTCTGATCTTGATGAATCTCGATGGAGGACTCTATCGGAGGATGGAGGATTTTATCAAACTGATAAAATTCTTTTGAAAATATGGAATAAGAAAGAGGCTTTGATAGCACATTCCCTACATTTTACGTGGCTTTGAAACCGCATTTTATTCGGATATTAAACCACTACTCAGAGGCATGAAATTGAATATAATGTGATATAAATTTCTCCAGTGACCATTACTTTTTAGTGATACTTTCTACTTTTGTAGCCTGATCAAACACTTCATTACAATCTGAAATTTTTATGATAACGTCTGCGGGGGAAGGAGAATAAAACCTTCAGTTTATGTCACAATAGGTGTTGTTAACAATTTTAAGCGGTACGTAAGGCTTGTAAGGCGTTCGTTGTGGAACGTCCTTTAAACTAAATTCTACATTGTCAATAGATAAGTAGGATTGAATTTTGTCCTCGACTGGAAACATCAATTTCCCAACGTTGAATAATCGAGTTATCCCGGGTGAGTATAGGAGCGTATATACGTCATTGGCTCAGAGTAAGGTTGAAGTAAGAGAAGAACGTGTACGTTTTATACGTCGATTTTCCTCAGTGCACGTACGGTTTGCTCTGAGCTCTAACGAAATTACAGAGACAGAGGGGGGATGGTACTGAGGAAATGTTGGACTGGGGTTTGAGTGGACCAGAGTGGCAGGTACAATGATGAAATGGAGGTGAAGGGAAAAATGAGATTGTCTTTACGTCAATCAAAACATTGCCAGGATTCCATTATCATGATTTTTTTAACATTCTCCCTCCATTTCATGTTTCCTCCTGGTTTAGTTAGGTCTCTATAGCTGGAATCTGTCTTGCTGATGCCTGACTCCTGCAGGCATCATGCTTCATTGATTAGTGTGAAATCCATAGGACAATTCCATCTGCTGATGATTTTCCTCTGATGGATTCGTTCAAGAGGGTTAATCGCTAGAAAAAAAGCCACTCCCCAGTTACTATAATCGTTTCATGCATTGCAACTCCACCCCTAAAGTGAGGGTTTGTTGGAGACACGTGTCACCTATCGCCTGAAAGAATCGTCTGACTTCTGACATACTCGTAATTTGATCAACTCCAGGGGTGAGATATTCTCATAATTCCGGCATTTTTTTAACCAATATCGTTCGTCAAATTTTCTCCACTGAGATGAGCTAAAAATACATTCAAAGATGAGTACAGGTGAAAACAATGTTCAATCAAGCGATGACAAGTGTAAATTTTCCTCTGTTCAGAGAAAACTGACTTGGAACAGCGTGACTTGGCAACAGCAAAAATACGGATGAAAAAAGCTCTGTGTATCGAAATACGAAGGGTCGAACATTGGGCAGTATTTGAGACCGAATCTGAGGGGCCAAACTGAAAGAAGAAAAGCGTAAACACCATAGTCCACTCTATACGATTGTGAATCGCGATACTTTTATGACTCGACTGACCAAGAAAGATCTTACCAGATACATAGTAATGGAGAATTCTCTCGGGCCAATAATCGAACCAGATAACATCGAATTGCTTTTTCTTCTTCGCATTATTTCCACCTCAATAATTCAATTTTTAAATAAAACGAAAGTGCTCTATTAAATCAGACCATTTTCTCTGTGGTTATAAAAATCGAGAAAGTAAATTTATGGTAATTTTCTCTTTCCTCAGAGAATAAAATCAAAGGCAGAGTTAATATTTGCACAGGATTGCGCATGTGAAAAAGGCTTAGGGGTTTAAGTCTATTTTTTTTTTACTCATGTCGTTCTGAGGTGCACCAATATATGCCCACATGTAAATCTAATCATACTCCCCTGTACACAAGTCTCCGCATTACGAGACCGACGATGTAACTAAACAAACGGAATTGAGTTAAGGTCCTAACGCAACCCCTAAAAACCTCCACCCCCTTGAAGTTCTCTTTCACGGCCGCAGTTCCCTTTTCTTTCTCTTTTGCATTAGCTATTCTTGCCTCAGACTGATTTCCTTCCGCTTTTTCTTCAGTGAAAATAATCAAAAAGTAAAATTGAAGGTAACTGAGACAAAAAAGGGGGAAGATGAAAAGGAAGCAAGTGGAGGGGACTTTAAACCAGTGTTTAACGTAGTTGGCGGCTGGTGACAACTGGGGAGGGATGCGAAAACTCGGGTTGAGATCCTCCAGATATTCTTCAGTTGCCTACTGATTCAGTGCTGGGATCGGTATAGTTATAAATTATAATTAATATTATTTGATTGCTTGGATAATTCATAATTCGAAGGGATGATTTTTCGATTAATTAAGCAATGTATAATCTGGAACATAAGTTACCAATTATTTTACTAATCGACAATCGGTATCAATCCTGACCCATTTTTTGTTAAATGAATAGTCATCCATTAACGATTATTAAGTAATTAGACAATTAGTAATCAGAAGTAAAAATTAACTGATTAATGTATCAACTGTTAATCCTGTTTGATTTTTCCTCAGTTATTTAAAGAGGAACTAA